CAGGCAAAGGATCCGAAGCCGGACGGATTCAGCCGGAAGCAGCTGGCCTGGGCAGGTATGTGCTCTGTCTTCACCAACAACATGACCGTTCGCTAACACCCACACTCAGCCTGCTACATGTGCGACCGACACATCTCGATTCGTCTCGGCAAAGGCTTCTGGTCTAGAGGGCCGGGGCCTTCAACAATCCTCTCCGCGGCGGACTTCCCGACGCTAAAAGCGCAGCAGATGGGCTCGGACGACCTCTCCGTGCTGTTCCAGGCTCACATCGAACTGACGCAACTATTCGGCAATGCACACGACATCCTCTACTCCTCCACCAGTCACCGAGAACATCTCTACCTCGGCGGCGAGTACGTCCGCTACATAGACGACTTCACATCCACGCTCCGAAAATGGAAGCTCGTTTGGGGTAGCCTCAGCTGTAAGCCTTACGGCTACTCACACGCCCCCGTGAGCACGATACTGACTTGAGCCACAGTCACGCCCCACGTAAAAGCAACCCTGATCCTCTCCTACGATTTCCTCCGCCTCTACATCAACGCCTTCGCCTTCCAAGCGACCATCAACCGCGCCCTCGCCCGCGTCCGCGCATCATCCTCCTCCTCATCCACCGCAAAGTCCGGCCCGCTCTTCTCCGACGTAGCGGGCAGCTGCGACGCGCGGTTCATCTACGAGAGCATCGACGCCGCCAATAGCTTGCTGGGCACGCTGAACAGCTTCATCGACCCCGTCACCGGGCTGAGGTACATGCCGATCAAGTACTACCTCTACGTCATCTACGCGGCCGTCTTCCTCTTCAAAGCGCGGCTGGCCGGCGCGTTGGGGAGGGAAGGTGGGAGTAGCGTCCGGCGAACGATAAACGTCACCATCGACAGGTTACAACGATCCAGCGTCAGCCCGGATAGTATCGGTAACCGATACGCGCGGTCGCTGTTTCTGCTGTGGCGGAAGACGCCTCACGCAGGCGAGAAGGGACAACAGAACGAGGGCGGTGGTCCGGTTAACGGCGGTCCGATGGCGGTCGATCCCACGCTTACTGGGACCGACGTGCCAACTGGTGCTGCTGGAAGGGCACCGGACCTGAGCGGGTTCTCGTGGAGGGACCTGGACTCGCTGGGGAACTTCATCACGAACGAAATGAACGTCACGGATAGCATGCTTGCCAGCCCGAGCTTTAACTCGGATCATACTGCCGCTGGCTTGGATCCGGGATCGAATGAGTGGTATGATTTGCTTTGGAGTGGGACGGATGTGGTGTTTTAGTTTGGGACTTCGAGGGAAAGTAGATGGTTGGGTCAATGTGGTAGGGACATATGGTTGGGAGAGATGATAGAGAGGCCATGGATTGGTTCCATGCTGCTTGACTGAAGTCAGCTGCTCCGTCGGCCTCCGGGACGAGTATTTGTCGGTTCCTGATCGACGGTATAGTCTGTAGCCGACGCGACTCCAGCAGCTCGGATCGAGAAGTGGATATGCCTTTCCCACCGCGCCAAGGACCGAGAAAGGTGATCGGAACAGCTGAACCTGGTTGAGACAACGAGTACTGACATTGTCCCGGCCCCGTGAGGCGTTGCTCGGTCAATGTCTATATCCCTTGGTCTGAGGTAACCGCATCTGATTCTACCCCAAGAAAGGTTACTGCCCGAGGCCGAAGCGTTTTGAAGACTGTCCTCGGTAGGGCGCGAGGTTCGAAGGCGGAGAGTATAGGGTAGCTTCAGCTAAGAGTAACGGACTGACTGTCGATCGCGTCGCGAACTATCTGGTTTGAGCCTTCGATGTCTACCAAAGATGCATCAGCAGTATCTATGCCGGCGGATCAGGCCTCCCATCGATAATAGTGCTACCTTACACTTTCTTGAAACTTGTCCACATCCATGCTTCAGTGTCTGGTCTGATCCCAGCCAATCCGTATTATCACCCTGGAAGTCATGCTCGCCTGACACCGCCTAGGCCGGGGCCTGACTCTCTTTTTTGTCAGACATGAGGTGCGATATGTCGTAGTCCCCTGGAAGGACGGAGGCAACTGCGCGTCGATGCCGAGGTAAGTTTTGGCATTGGACATATATGTGAAGAGACACCTCGCAAATAATCGACGCGATACGTGATGTCGATAAGGGTGTTGTGTTTGAGACCTGAAGGAGGAAGGACTTTCGCCTTGCGTCTTGGAAAGAGGTCGATATTATCCTCCGCCCGCCTCGTTCCTATTTGGGAGAGTGTCGGCGCGACGGCGACTCCTGTGGGTGGTCCACCTCCATCCATTGAGTGGTGCTAATCTTCCAGCCACTGAATCCTCCGACGGCACGGGAGCTTCCTGGCCAGCAGGGATGTGCACGCCTGATGCCTCTTCTTGTCCGACCATGTCCGTAGCCTCCGGCTGGCCGTAGCTGGCCCCTGAGAGCGACGCCGAGTCCAAAGATGGTTCCGCGCTCAAACTAGGTTCCGCATCCGGAGCCTCCGGCTGGCTGCGGCTGACCCCTGAAGACGACTTTAAGCCCGACGGTGGTCCCTCGCTCAAAGGAGGCTCCCCGTTCGCAACCTCCTGTTGGCCGTGGCAGACTCCTGAAGACGTATCTGAGTTCGAAGGTGCTCCCTCGCTCGAGGAGAGTTCCGCGTCCGAGGTGGGTTCCGCAACCCCGTCCGACGAGTGTTCCAAATCCGAATGTGGTCCCGAACCAGCAGATTGTTCACCGTCGGAATCGGCCCCGTCATCCGAGTCAGCGGTGGCGGTCCTCTGCTCGATGATCAGATCGAAGCATGATCTCTCGAGGAACTCGATAGTGGTGGTAGAGACAATGATCTCGGTCCCCGTAGGTCGTTGCGTTATCACCGCCGATCTATCTGGGGCGCCCGGCGCACTCGAGCTGAGATCGCTCGGGTCTCTCTCACGCAAGTAGTCCTGCCATATGTTGCCTTCTAGCAGCCCACTGATCGGGTGAGATGGCCGTGCCGGTTCAGGACTGGGGGCTTCGAATATGTAGCACCAAGGCACGCCGTGCGACAACCAGTACTTGATCCCCGTCTTGGCCGACCCTGCCAACTCTGTAGAATGGTTGTGTTTGTTGAAGTGATGGTCAAGCCCCCATACGATGAAGAACGCGTCCGAGGCATCGTCTGTCATCAGGATGGTGGCTAAAATCTCGCCGATTCTGGGATGCAAGAACCCAACAAAGTCATTGGACGGCAAGTACTTTATTATACGGTACTTTGTCTGACCCGATCGGCCAAGCCTCAACGGAGGCGACAGCGCCGCCCTACGCGATAAGTCGAGTGGTAGAGGGTGTGTTATGTGTAGTGTCTCAACCTTGCAACGCGTTAGGTCGTATTCAACTAATGCGGGCAAGAAGTGTCAGTTCATCCATCCTCCTTTTGCAATGAACATAATAAGAGCGCCTGGGCGAGACAATACTCATACCTTCGAATGATCCGGGGTTCCCCCACATTATAGACTCGGCATCGTCAATGCGTGTCGTCGCCTTCCCAGTACAGGTGACGCAGATCCGGAAGCCCGAGCCACGCCTGCTAGAATACACTGTGTTCGTGGCCGCACCTTTGATCGTGGGCTCGTAAAAGATCGCCGGGCGCGATAAGATATCTCCAACAAAGCTGCAGTTCAGCAGCGCAAGAGTCCCGGCCACGGGCTCATCAAGGGCGCGGCCGCGGTCGGCGATCACAGTCGCCGGGCACGTAAGAGCGGTTAGTTCCATTCGACCTCGGCGTGGGATAACCAGGCCCAACGGCTTCAATGGAGAGCGATCCTCGTTTCGAAACTCAATGTTCCTCGAGGTCTCGAACGGTGCAGGGTAGATAGCGTACTCCCTATCTACGTTCCAGAGAATGGACATGTCGTTGGTGTGCTTGACTATGGCTTCCTTAAGCCGCTCGAAGGCACGAAACCCCTCGCCATATAGCAGAGGCATGGTTACGTCGAAGAGTCCCATCAAACAATAGGCCACGTCTTCCGGGCGCGTCGTCCTCCTTCGCGATGCCCAGGACATCTTCGCTGCAACACTATGCATTAGCCGCCAGTCATAGTCGTGGTCTTTGCCTCTGCTGAGAATATCGGCCGGTATTCTCGTTATTTCAGAGAGCACTCCGGTCATCGAGGCACGACCGCCTAGTTTCGTCCAGTCTTTATCGAACAAGTCGACAAAGTCCGGTGCAAGAAGCTCCTGCAGTGTCCATCCGCGTCTGAACCAGTCGCTTTTGCGTAGTGACTCGCCATCATCATGGGTCACGTCAGCCAAATGCGTGATGCAGACTTTCGAGCGCCGGTACCATTCGAACATTCTGTTGATCGCCTCCGAAAGTTCTGCGCTGCTGCTCTTGTCGATGCAGCAACTATCCACCCATAGATACTGAAGCTGGTAAACGGCCAGCGCCGTCTCGCAGGCTTTGAGGATCTTTGCGAACTTGAAGCCCTGCTTGCTGCGGAGCAAGGGCGTCAGATTGCTGAAGTCTTTGTACGTGACTTCTTCCCGGCCCCATCGATGCGACAGGATCGCATATCGCGGCCGGTCCCCATAGTCGTCGGAGTCGAACAACTCGAGCTCGAGCGTCTTGGTGTTGATCAGCCTCATGATTGCCGAAAGGGAGCCAGGCGTTCGCTAGAAGACGTCCAAAAGAAGAGAGAAAAAAGGGAGATGTCAACGCGCACCATGCCCACGATCATCCCCCCCCTCTTGTGCTTGAAATGGTGAGTGCCATTGACGCCCGGCCAGAGAATACGCGCCCGGCCAGAGAATACGCGCCCAACCAGAACGCAGCCAGTATAACCACGCAGATGCAGCAGACGCCAACAGACATGGCTACAGATATAGAACCCCACGTCCACGCATGTAGCCATAGCCGTCAGAGGCACACATCCCGAGGATGTCGGCGCGGAAGCTGCGAACGATACCCCTGTTTGCACTTGCAAAAGGAACATGGCTGCAGAAAAAGATGAAGAAAAGGATGAGAAACACCGACGGCAAAAGTGAAGTCAAAAGCAAAAGAAAATGTGGAGGAGCTGGGAGTCGAACCCAGTACCTCGTGCAGGTAACATGTACTGTGATGATTGCTCACCAAATGAAATGCTAAGCACGCGCTCTACCAGATGAGCTACACCCCCTGGAATTTGTTGAAGGAAGGTGCGGTATCGCAACTCATGAGCGGGCAGCGGAGTTCTTGGAGACGGTGCGATCATGCACCGTCATAGCTCCACTGCAAGGGGACTGACTCGTCGAGTGGATATGCTAGCAAGCGCCGAAGCATGGGCGATAAATCTTCACGACATCGGATCGTCGTCCAGCGGCCGTCTCGGGTCTTGAAGCACAAGGACCAGACGCATGATTCGGTGTTGGCGCCGTGAAGTTGTTTTGTGCTTGAATGCAAGGTATTAGAAGGAGGCCAATGACACAAGCGACTGACTATCATCTCTCCGCCCCGGCATGGCGATACTCCATCAGTCGGTGCATGTACGTCTCCTACGAATACTGCCGCCGAGTCGAGCCGACGGCATGGCATGGCCTGGTGGTCGCCGAAACGGATCTGCACGCTTCTTTGCGCTCTGCATGAAGCACAGCATTTTCGGTTATGGCGAAACGCTTTGGTGATTTTTTTTCGGGCTCTGGGCCAGCCGGTCCGAACCATGGAGTTGTAACTGCTCGTTGTTGGCTTGGGTTGCTGATGGTCTGACCGACGAGAGAGATGGATTGCATGAAACGAACTCGTACTGGACTGCGTACAGGTTGTCTGACGGCGGCATGCATGGCTTCTGCTTGGTCATGGTCTGGACTTGTTCCAAGGCTTGGACGAAACGGTAAGCAGCCACTGGTTCGGGGCACGACCATCGTCGTTACGACGTCCGCGGTGTCTTGTAAGTGGTGGGGGTTCGAAACGGAAAGGTTTGGATCACCACTGTGCGAAAGTGGCTGGCGTATCCGTGGCATGCAGTTTAGAACAAGAATGCCACCCCTAGCGGAGCTGGCAGGCTAATATCAGCTAAAGCTGTCGGGCCACACAGGATATGATCCACCCTTTTACACAGTAGCAGGGTCTTAACCACCACCATGACACCGGCGCCGGACCAACAGCACACCGTCAAGACATTGTAATTCCCGAGCCGATGATCAGTTTCGCTCTCTTGCCCATATCACTTTCAGCTGCGGGCCAAGAGGCGGAACTCAACCCTGAACAGTTGCATCCTGTTGAGTGCCCGCCGGAAGGAGCGGCAGGTATGGAAGGGTCGGTGTGCGAATAGCGTGACGCCCTGATACGAACCGGCCGACGAGTGTTATTGGCGAGTGAGGTGTCGACAATGTCGATTAGCGTTTGAATAAGTGAGCGGTATATTCCACTGTGGATTATGCTGACCCCGCCACTTTGCTTGTCGTCGTACGTCGTCGTCGTCGACTCCCTCGTGGAGTCATTCGGACGTCGCAAGAACGAGAGACGGCGATCCGTGATGGACACGACGAGACGCACTTCCGGTGTATCTAGATGCCCCATTGTCCATCATCAGGCTTACAGCAAGACGAACTGCAAGATGCGGATCTGAGAGGGAGACAAGGTCTTGGACGCTTGGTTCTATATGAGCCACTGTGGTGTAGCTACGACATGAGCTATTACATCGGTGCGCCATGGCCCGATATTAACTGCGGCGCAAATGATTATATGTCTGGAGCCTGGTGCAACAGCTCGCCCAACAGTGGTTGGCTTGGGCTCGGTGACGGCGAAGCATCTTGCGGCCATGGAGCCACGGACGCTGCTTGTTTTACAGCGAAATGTCCGTCTGCCGTCTGCTCAGGGTCAATGCCGAGAACAGGCCGGAAATGCACTCTGCGTGCTGGCCCGCTGGTGATACGGCTGCAGCACGGGGCATTCCTTGAGCGACTCCAAACGCCCGCCTGCTCGCATTATGCCCTTCGATACTTGTGCGGTCGCCTGGTCATGCTCGCAGATTCTTGCGATTTCCGAGCTTCCTCAGGTGCATCGTTGCCCGTACCGGCACACAAAGCATCATATGCGTATAGGCGGCTGGCGGCTGATACTCATCACGGACGTGAAATGTCATAGATCAGTGTCCGCGTGCGGTTGGACAGTGATGTCGAAATACCGCGACCAGTAGCAGAGCTGGTCTGACACAAATGTGTTTCGGCGTGGACGCCTTGTCTATGCGTCGTGTGCACGGCAACAAGCTCTAGAGACGCCTGCCTATATGGGTCCGGGTAGCCATAGTCCCAGCAATGTACCGCCATCGCCAGGTCTTTTGCTTCTCGACGGCGGCTGGATGCTTCGGTACTTCACCGTCCCAGACTGACTTGTCCAGACTCGACCAGATGATCGCAGCACGACATTGGGGTCTTGGAGACGCACATTAGGTGTTCGTAATGCTCTGTGGCTCACCTCAGTCCAAAGGCTGTCGGCGTGACGGTTTTTCGGGTTGATAACGGAGTCCTGGGAGGTACCAAGAGCCTGAATAGGTGCCGGATGGCAAACATCGACGATTTGAGAAGTCATTTGCTAGGCGGAACCACGGGCAAAACAGAGTTTGAAAAGAGGCCCGCATTGACACCGCCACAGCAGATGGAAGATGGAAGCCTTGTCCCAACCGAGGCGGTGGTGACTTGTCGTGACAGTATGCGATTCCGCTTTACCGGAGAAAAGTATGGTTGAAAAGTTCAAGTTTGGACCAGCCTAGAGAAATTCTGCCCCCTCATTCGATCTTGAAGAATGCAATGGTTGAAGGTGTGAGACGGAAAAAACAGTGGATAAGGCAACCTGGAACGCCCAGAAACAAAGGATCCACCTTTGCAGCTCCACTTTATCGAGAGACTTGCCCGTTTTCGCGCTAACGACTCCAGATTCATTCAACATCCTGCAACAATGGAAACTTCAAGATGCCCAGATTATCCAGCCCAGATTATCCAATTCTTCCAGCAAACTCGCTTCAAATGACGCCGACGCCTTGATTCAGTGTCCTGCGACAAACCCACTTCGGCATCATACCAGCAAAAACACAGCTCGAGAGTCACAATGCAGCCGGAGCCGCTTACTCAGGATGAATCCAGCCCGACACAAGTCCAACAATAAAACCGGGATACGTTGGCATCGGTTTACCACAGTGAAGGCGAGGTTGGAATTCAGCCCTTCCTGGCGATTGACAAGCACACCGACCAATTATAGTCCGGATGATGCGTACACCGAAGCAGCGGGCTCCAGGATGACGAAAATGCATCCAGTAATGGAGCCGTGACATTGCTTTACAACATACATCACCGTCGAATCGGCCTTCTTGGATTTCATCTTTATGCTTTGTCAAAAAGGCGCTGGCTTGTTGGAGCTATACCTTGCCCGCTTCCTTGGCTGCGCTCTTTTTTCTGCTGGTGGTAACCCTGGACATCGGATCAGCCAAGCAAACGTCCCAGTCAGCCAACAAGCGAAGTGGAATACGGAAGACCTTCCCAGACGGCTACAGTGTCAAATGTTTCGGGGAATCGTCCAACCTCGTGTGTGCTCGGCGCCCGGCATCAGGTCAATGTCCCCAAGTGACAGGCGATCAAGCTCTAAACGAGGCAATTGAGATCTTGAAATTGCCACGCCGCCATCGCGTGTGAGATCAGGGGGGGGAACTTTCGCACGTTGATACTCCTTTCGGCCGTGGACACGCGGGTCGCGGCGTACTCATCTGCCCTGTCGTTCGTGTCGTGTCGAATGCTTGACTTTGCATTGAACGAAAAGGTACTTACGCCGGCACCGGGTCGAGGCAGTGATACCCCACCAGAGATGGATGCAACGGAAGGACTTGTCGAACTTGAAGGCTGTAAGCTTCCAAATGGACTGGTGGTCCCCACCAATCTATTCGCGCCATCATACCGGACGAAACCTCGAAAAAGCCACGGCGTGGAATTCACACGGCCCAGGATTGGAGATTCAAGGCGATCAGCATCCGTCCCGACACGACACATCACACGTCTCCTCCGTTCATGGATGATGGATGAGTGGCACTATCGAACCGGACGGACAATGCATCAAGTCAAGCCAGCCCAGTGCTAGGCATTATTGGGGCGCAGATGCAGACCCCTTTTGCCTATCATCGCTGCCAACAAGCTTGGTAAGAATGCAGGCGGTCTCCTTTTTGATCCTGTTATATCGACTTGACGACGTCGTCTTTGACACGGATTCGACGCCGAGACCGACGCCTTTCCGCATTCCCACCGGTTCCACCCCTCATTCAGCCCCTCCACACCGGACGGCGGTTCTGGAGCTGACGACGGTCAAGCCACACTAACACCGAAACTGCATTGTTCCATGCCTGGGATCGGATCTGCCAAGGAGCAACAAAAGTGCCTGTCGATACTTCATCCAGTCCTGCTTTGATGTCAGGCCAGCACGAGGCGCTCCCTCCCTTCTGTCTGCCTCCGGCTGCCTGACGGGATTCGTTATCTGTCGGTGGAAGTGGGCGGCTGGACTAAATGCCCGGTCCATCGCCATAGACAGTTGCTGACCCGTGTGTTCAGAGCTTCAAGCCACAACCGAGAACGTGAAATGGATGTCATTGGCTCCGCTGGATCTCCCATGTGCAATTATAGACACACCCTCTTACGGGGCGCTACTGCACACCAGATCAGACAGGGAGCAGCCAGCTGTCTGCCCACGGACCCTCATGCTGGTTGGAATTTGAACTGCACATCAACCCCTCCAAAGCGCAACCCGGCCGACAGGGACAGATATCGACAGATAGGGGTACACTCGGGTTTCCATGCACGAAAGATACATGGTAGAACAGAATGACGAAGAAGAGTTTCTCATTACAGTCCCGCCACATGTTCACGGATCAGCTGGACACGCAATACACTTTTCGGAGTCCTGCCGGGCTCCCTAAACGACACCGACTCCGAAGACGCAAGACATGCGTTGCCCTTTACGAAAGTACTTCTCCAGTCTGGAGCCAGGACGCCGATGCACTAGTCGCACCGTGCGAGCACGGCAAAGTGGCATAACTGAGATCGTCTATTGATTCCAGCGGGCCGCTGGGACCAGGCTCTGCTGCGCTGGCAGTTGCAGCTGTGTGGCACACTCTTGCTGATGACACCAACAACTCGGCCGCTTCATCCACTGTCTGATGTC